CCAGCTATAGGGCAAATACAGGGCAATTATATGTGTGAAATGTGTAAATATAAGTGAATTTAGTAGGGTCACAAATTATCCCAAGAATATGTCCAAAGTCATAGTTTCAAAATACAAAATAATCTCATGTTCATTACAGTAATAAGACATTTATTTCTATATTTTTTAGATGGTAAAGTTACCGGTATACATCATAGGAATTTGTTTGTACTGCCTTAATTTCATCCCACACATTCTCATCAACCCCTCATCTCTGGACACGATTAGTAGGCAAACCATCTGGCATCACCTGGCAACTGCATTTGTGAATCATCAGCAGGGGGTTTAACACGACACAGCAATCCTGAAATCACAAGCTTCCATCTTGTTTCCTTGATCCTTTATCTTCTACTTTGACTGATAGCATTAAAGATAGATTTTACCAGTTGAGTTGATGAAGACCATAAGAATCTGTGAGTGCCATCAGTCATTTCAACTGAAACAACTTTATTTTTCAGATAGATAGATAGATGACAGACAGATAGATAGATAGATAGATAGATAGATAGATAGATAGATAGATAGATAGATAGATAGATAGATAGAACTATTAGATAGACAGACAGACAGACAGACAGATAGACAGATAGATAGATAGATAGATAGATAGATAGATAGATAGATAGATAGATAGATAGATAGATAGATAGATAGATAGATAGATAGATAAAAACATCACTCTCAATATAATAAATTACTTCAATAATAGATAGGAAATAGATAGATAGACAGACAGATAAAAACATCATTCTCAATATAATAAATGAATTCAATACAAATGTATTTCTTTATTCATCTGTTTAATTGATTTCATTTCTATAATTAGCCCACCCGAAAAATATAAATTCCGATTTATTCAAAAAGAAATGAAAGTCTTCAACAGCTTTGAATAAACTAAAGAATGATGAAATGATAACAGCAGTCATTATATTATTACAATAATAATCATAATTCAATAACCAGAATATCAACATTCATAACAAATCCAAAAACATTGGCAATACACTCTGACATACCACTCTTTCTATTAATATAATATATACAAAAAGAAATAAAATTCCCAAGTGTCTGCCCTTTTCGAAATGGAAATTTAGGGGCGGGGCTTATGGCTTGTCAAGAAAGATGACTGTGATTGGCTTATGGCTGACAAAGATCAACTGAAGTTTATTAGAAAGAGGCACATCATGGGAACTCCATTCATATACAGGGGACAAAGAAGCGCTTACTTGCATGGAAGAGTTGCTAGGCAAGTAATGAGGGAATAAAGCATCAAGCCATATAAAAGGTCAGTATAGTAAAATGGGAACGTCTTCTCACAAGAGCGACCTTCTAACAGCGATCCAAAAAAAACCAAAACTCATCTGATGCACGGCACCGCATTGAAATTGAAAGCAAGAGGAGATGCAAAAGCTGCAAAGATTAGCAGGTGACTTATGTCTGGAAAAGTGGATATACGCATACATACGGTAGGTATTAAGCCTAGGCTATATATTTATGTACAAGCATTGCTTGGTCACCCAGAACCTGTTACAAAATGAGTGCAAGCTTTAGACTGGCAAACCACGTGGCGGACTCACGGCGACGCATCGTAGGTTTCAGACTGCGTACAATCAGCCTGAGCAAAAAGTGCTTCGAAGACATCCGTCGACGAGTCGCCAACATGAGTTTTCATTCCCACAAAGTTCTGTTACGCTTTTTCTTGTCCACATTTTGAGAAAAAGGGAAATCGGTGTAAAAGAACACATTCTGTACACTGCATATACAAACATACCTTATGTACAAATACACATATATATATATATATATTTATATTGTATAACCATACATCCAGTATATACACAAAGACTGTACACACACTGTATATACACACAGTCACCCACAACATTATTCGACCTGCATGATCTCTCAACATTGATATTTTTGTCTAGTGGTGTAAAAAGGAAGCAGAAAAATGTCTGTGTTGCTCAGCAATGGCATCCAAAGGAAATAAAGTTACATTTAAAACAGCAACTTGGCTTCGCTTTTCAAAACTACCCACAAAACGTTCGCCAGCCAAATTTCTAAAACAAGAGGATTCCACATCCAAACAGTGTCGTCCATAAAATCAAGAACTCCACAGCAAAACGAAAGCGAGTTAAAAAGTAAAAGAATCCATCTTTCTTTCACATACAAAGGAGTTGCCGAGGATCCGGGACGTAGCAAAATGCGGGGAGGGGGAGCAGGTAAAATAACAGGTTGTCGATACTTCTTTGCAAGGAGATTGTCACATAAATTCACGGATCTAAAAAGGATTATTTTCAGTTCTTGTCTCGCATTACCAGCATGTAAATATGGGATTTCATCTGGGTGAGGTCCAGTCAAGTAGTAGAAACAAACCACCAGGAAACAAAAGTTCGGATACTTCCAGCCTCTAACCAAATCCGCTGAAGGACAACTCAGCGTCTCTCGAGAATAAAAGGCTGGGCATGTTCTGTTTCCCCAAAATAAAAGACATGATTGAGACACGGGCAGGCATGACAGGCAGAGCTAATGAAGATCATAATGAGAAGAAGTAGAGGATTGTTCAATATCCTACATGTAGTTAGTAAAGAACCTAAAAAACAGCACCTTTGAGATTGATCTTATCCACAGAACCTCTCCAACTCTCTCAACGAACCACTTGCGCTGCATGCGATGTCATCTCTCGTGCTGTTAAGAGGCACGCAGCAGCCATCTGACAGATGTTAAGCATCCCAAACTGCCATCACATCAAATTATATCAGAGAGAGGGCACGTCAGAGGAGGGGAACCTATTTTTTTTTTCTCTTTGGATCGGCTCTGGCACTGAGTCTAAGCCTCAGTTTCCCCTCTGTCAACCAACCGAATCGCGCGACAGCGCCCTGGAATTAAACATTGGCCAACCTGAAGAATGTCCTTGGTGAGGCCTCCAATTAGGTTCCAGATTGTCCTCCATGAAGCTTTGTGGTTGGCTGGAGATGCAGGGAAAAGAGGAGGTGCTTGATGAGCTGCTGACCAATCACTGCTACTAATCTCAGAGAAGAAATGGACTAACTACCAAAACAGGCAGGTCAACTTAAAATGTGTTTTTTTTTCTTTTCCAGTTTGCATTAAACTGTGAGGCAATTGAAAGTTTACCTGAGTCATTCGATTTTACGTCTGAGGTATATTCATGTCATGGCACATTTATCAGCCGATAACCCTGTTATCCCATTTCTCTCAACCGCTCTTGGGACATAAACAAAATTGCCTGTTGATTATTACTAAATGGTGTAGAAGTCACTTAAAGATAGCCCTCAAAGCTCTAAAAAGCTAAAATGGCAATCAGTCCATTCTCCTCTCCAGTGCCTTCCCAACCTTGAAATATTACAGTACAGCTCAGTGTTTTTATTGTGCAGTTATGATTTATGTTTCCTTGCTCTCATCTAGGCCTGCTGTATTGGTGTAGCTGTATTACATACAGAACTTGAGTAGTTTTTCAATGCAACAACAAGGCAATCAGCAATGAATTGGGTTACAAATGAATGACTTGTGTCAGCGAAGCCGCGAGAATGTCTTGAGTCTATAGAAACATGACAATGAACTGATTAATCGTAAAACAAACAATAAAACGAAAGAAAGCTGTAGTGAACGATGAGGTATACAATCAGTACCAGATGGCAGTGATACTTAAATGAAGAATAGCTAGCAATATTTCTGTACAGTACATAAGATTTGAAGTCAGTTATCTAACAAGATCTTTCCTAAAATCGCCATTCAACGGCACCAAAAAGTTGCTTGAGCATCTTTAAAGTCAACATGAAATCAAAATGAACCCTGTATACTTTTAAAATGCACATTCCTGGTTTTATTATTCATAATTTGTAGCTTTCCAGTTGCTCAAACAGTACGGTATGGCAAAGCCAAGGTCATGGGTTCGATTCCCAGAGAATGCATGAACTGATCAAATGTATACCTTGAATTCAGTTTGGATAAAAGCATCTGCCAAATGCATAAATGTAAATGTAATGATTATTTGGTGCAAGTCCCTGGTTTTACTTTTTCAATGCACATTCTTGATCTTATTTTTTATGATGCTTTGGTGCATGGTATTCTATATTAAAAACAGGGTTGTTTTCATAATCTTTTAACAAAATATAACGTGCACCACCTCTGAAAACAAATCACAAATCCCACACAAAGTTCTGCTTATTTGAAATATCAGCTCTCTTCGCATCATGCCATGTTGAGGAAAACGCATCTGTATAAAAAATGCCTTATGACCACAACAGCATTCTGGCCTAGCATTTTGTTTTAAGAAAAAAGACAAAAGTTTTTTTGACCTGACAGAGATCACCTCACGCTCACCTCATGTTGCGCACACACACACACACACACACTGAAATAAATCAAAATTGGCCTGTAAGGAGATGAATGGGAGGACGAAGACATACTGTATATGAACCGTTAGGACGATGACAGAATGAGAGGTGGTGATGTAACACAGAGCAATGCTTTGTGAATCCATAGCACCAGTTAAATACACATAGGTTCTGAGATTGAGAAGAGAAAACATTGCACAAGTTCAGTCTAGTGAGGCAATTCAAAGACCACAAGCACTTTCCAGACATTGTCCACAAAAACCCGAGCCATGGTCGGATTCCCAAACTTGACATTTTCAGCATTACATTGAGGCAGAAGAACACAACAATCTCTCCTAAATGAGCAATCTCGAGAAGAGAGAGGAGTTTGCACAACCATTTCTGTAATTCTGCCATCCTTATTCTTGTGTTCGTTTGAAAACCCTGTCTAGAGATACAGAAAGGCACTAGGGAAGGCAGATGACAAGACAAAATCCCCCAGACAAAGCTGACGCGTGTTCGTGGGTCAAATTTCGATCTCTATACACTTCGAAACATACGTATAAGTTTGTTTGCCCACCGTTCCCGGCTTCTTGGGATTTTTTTTAACGCAATATGAGGGAGCTCAGTCAAAAACTTGGAAACTGAACCAAGCACTTTCCAGTGGTTTGGATGACGTGGTGGCAGAGGTACTGTACGTGCAAGGGGCTTTTAACTTTGATCCAAAGAAAAAGTGATGTCGGAATAACATATCGGATCCAATGGAGAGCCCTTTTGTTTTGGATGGTGCAAGTAATGTCCCGCCTCCCATTTGTCCTCAGTCTAATGTACAAAAAAACCCTCATCCTTATAATGCGGATGACAAAAGATGTGACTTTTTCTTCGGAATTCCTAAAAATGTTCTCAGATTTGGTCAACGTTGTTATTGACCTGCTCCCCCTCCAAACTCGCCCTCGATGCTGTTGCTGATTTTTCAGTTGCCGGGGAGCTCTCCGTTTGGCCGGAGTTGTGCGTGAGGAAGAGAACGAGGAGGGGGGGCTAACGGGAAGGACAAGATTCCATTCAGGGGGGATCGGGTGGAGGATTTGTCCGAGGGGGAGACTCCAACAAAGCCAGGAGTGCTGGTCATTTCTCCTCCAAAACTCACACCGGGGTCTGCTGAACCCAAGGCGGAAAGCTGCTTTTCCTAGCAAGACAGAGAGAGAGAGAGAGGAAAAGGGAGGAGAAGAGAGAGAGAGCAGGCGGAGGAAGGATGGAAGGATGAAGATTACACACACACAAAAAAAGGCAAATGGAATGCAAAGGAGTTCCCATGGCAAGAAGATCGATAGGGAAATGCAGAACAGGAAGATCAAAGGAAATAGAGGTCACAGAGGGAAAGAGGGATTGGAAGAGCAGTAAAGGAGGAATAAAACAGGAGCATGAGTTGTACAGCAGAGGAATGAAACATTTCCATAGAAATGCTCAGGGAAAGAGGGATAGACACAAAAAAGAGGAAGAGAGAGGGATGAGGAGGGAATTACAAATGCTGTTGATACACTTGTGCTCTTGTGAGGTTGCACTGCAGAAGACCAGAGTGGTTGTCAGTGACACTGAACGATTCAATATTGGATTGTTTTGGGTAAATATACCCAAAATGTGATTTTAAGTAAGAAGAGACATTTATTTATTGATTATTGATTTATTTATCATCAATTTTGCATTAAAGGGGTCATAACACAATTTTTTTAGAGCCGCCAAATCGATTAATCTCGATGTGTGTGTGCGCGCGTGTCTGTGTATATATACAAAGATATATATATATGCATACATATATGTGTGTACACACACACACATATTATATAAACACAAACTTTTATGTTATATGTGATTAATCACGATTAATCGATTTTTTTTTACCATTTCATTTTTTTGGTTTTGGTCAAAAAATATATGTTGGATCAATCAATTCTTCTCATGGAAGCCTAAAAATAGATTACCAGTTATATGTAAAGTGGCAATGTAACGTCCCAAAGTGTACATTTATTTGACCTCAAAGATCAGAAAATTTGATGACTCATGATATGACCCCTACCACTGCACTCACTCCAGTGTCTAAGTGCAGTACAATAGACTTATACTGAGCATGCAACTGATGCAAAAGTGTGATCAACTGAAAAGAACAGGAAGTGAGAATGAATATTTATGTGGAATGTAGGTGCTTTTTGTTCCACTATCACAAGCATATCTGGACTGTTGTGACAATGTGCCTGACAGTGTTATGCAAGCTCAAATGACTCTAGGGAACTTTTTTTTTTTAATCCATTTACTATCTTATAAATGTTTTATACAAAGTAGTTTATATTTGTATTATATTGCATGATTATACAATTTTGATATTTCAAAATGTACTTGTTCAAACCAAAACAGTGTCAAATCCACTATTTAGAATTTCAGGGAGTTTCCACACTTGGTTTGAACCTGAGTTCGGTTGCTCCAACTGTACAATGGTCCATCCAGGGTTGTGCCTGAACGCGTTCAATGAACGATAGTTCATGAACTCGTTCATATTTTGGGCGAACGTGAACTGAACGTACTGATTACTGCCTGATGAACATTACTGTGAACTCGTTCATTCTGGTGTCTGTGAACGCACGCTCTCTCAGTTTAACTTCGTTCAATAGGGTGCCAGATTTCTATAGAGGCTTTCAGGCGAAAACCTGGCTAAAACACACCGTAAACAGGCCTTAATATGTAGCGAAAAAAAACACCCAATCTGGCAACACCAGCCACCAGTGTCGCACCGCGGCCGCCGCATGCGTCATCAAGACAAAAAACAGCATGTATTCGACAAAGCAGCGAGCGAGGAGGCGTCGTATGATCATTTAAACGAGTTTTATGACAAGGTCGGTGAGGATGGGAAAAATTTTACATTTCTGTGCAAACTTTGCCCGTCGATAAAATAATTGCTGTCTGTGGTTGTATATGGGCTGTGGCAATAATAAAAAAATAAATAAAAAGAAGCTTGCAGCAACATATGGAAAAAAGAACTATGTAGAAAATGAACTTTCCCAACACTGCGTCCATCTTATGCACACTTCAGAATCTCACCAGAAGTAGTAGGTCATCCGGGTACTTTTTGCTCACTCTTTTATGAGTACTGTGAATTCGGACATACTACTTTTGACACATACTGAATTTCGCCTACTATATAGTAGGGAAGTGTGCGCTTCGGATACAACCTATTGCAAACTACACGCCGCCATTTTGAAGTGCATTCAACTTTGTAAAGTGGACGAGGGAAGTTAATTTCGACAGACCCTCGACCCCTCGGAGCGAGTACACTTGGGTACACTTCAGGCAGATTCATAGACCACAATCCAACACAATTATGACGTCACAACAGAAACTCGCACTTCATTTATCCACAAGTGATCAAGGGCTTAGGGCATTCCATTTAAACCCATTGCAAGGGTTTCACCAGCAGTGGGCACTTGCGCAACGTTAGCAAAAGTGGACTTAAATGCAGCCCTGGTTTCGTACCTGAATGAATTCGAGTTTTTGAATTAATCGTTTGAGTGAATGATTCAATGACTCCCTCAAAAGAAGGTTACTTGCTTTGTGCATAAATGAATATGTGTTTTGAACGAATTGGTAGAGAAAGATTCAGTGAATCACTCATAACACAGAAAACAGTCACTTGTCGTCACCTACTGGCGTAACTATGTTCTATGCTCTAAATTCTCTATCTATCAGTATATATATTTGTATGCATCTGAATATATTGTGTTATACATTTTTTTTATCAACTCAAATATTTATGAAACACTTTGACTAATATATTGAGCCCGCAATAGTTCCGTAGCTAGTGTATTATCATTGCTGGTTAAATTATATTGAACTTGGGTCCGCTCTGCAACAGAAGTGTGAAAACAACCTCAAGCCCATTTCTGCCACACACACACACAAAAAAGGGGATAGTTTGACTTTCAGATTTTTTGTTATGTGTTAGCTGGGCTAAGATTTTCATATAGTGGAGACACCATTTTTATTTTGCTCTTATCCTCTAATCTTACCTACAGAGGCGCAGTGCAGTGCCAAAAGCAGCCTCAGCTCATTTTATATCTAAATCATGCTCAGTGTGTTTTTCATCAAGTTCAGTCCTTTTCAGTGAAATCTGGATTGGGGTGGAAACATTGGAGTTAAATCAACCTAAAGTTAACGCTGAGGCTAATGCATGAGAAACTCATCAAAACAACATGACAACAACATTCGGTGATAATATGTTTTACCATTCTAAATATACTCACCTGGTATTTGTGTTTGACTTCATTTTTACAAGAATTCTAAGTGAATGGCTCAACTTTAATAGGTTCTATGTTTTTAACACCAAGGAATTTGCTTTGGTTCCAGACTGTTACATTAGCGAAGTGGCTAGCTTTGCTAACATAAGTCAGTCTGACTCCGTTATGGTGCAATTTCTTTCTCTTCTCAATCAGAACCTAGTATTTGAGAATGAATATGGAATTAGTGTTAGGGAACGGAGGTTTGGAACTAGCTGCAACACTAAACAAAGACAAGTGATGACGACAACAGGAGTAAAGGGTGCATCTCTGTCAGAACTGCAACTCATACGACGGTCACTTTTGTCTGGAACCATTGCTTTTCTTTAGGTGGTCAAATCGAAGTCCTGGTTGAATTGGTCTGTCAGGTAATTTAGGTTCAAAAGAAAGGGTTAATACGTTCTGATGTGTTTCTACAGCTCTTTAGATGCAATCACACGCAGAAACCTTTAAAACATCATCTAAAGCAAAGTAAATCTTCAATACATCGAGTAACACCACACACATTCACCTTTCACTTCCATTCAGCCTTTTACTTCACATGAACTTAATTTACCCAAAAGAAATTGTGTAAAAAATGAGTTATTAATGCAACCATGAACTATACATTTCTATGCAACAAACTACACCACTTAATGCACAAATGTCTACACAAACACTTCTACTGTAAATTACCACCAGAAGCGCTCTAAACACCGCAACAGAAGCATGGACACGTACACACATTCACACTCATCCGGGTTCTCATGCACGCTGATAACCCACCCCTGACTCCTGTCAGGGCGGCACGGAGAAAGATACGGAGATTTCCCAGAAATCATCATCAACTGTTTCAAAGTGCAATGGTGATGATGTAGATAGAATGGACATGATGATAAGAAATCCTTCGCCTTGCACTGAGCCATATGCCCTGCTTACCTCTATTTTATGTCAGATTATGCTGAAATTGCGACATTTTGTATGGATGTGAGGTGAAACCTCCTGCAAAACAAACAAACAAGCTCCCAAAAATGACAGCATCTCTATGAATCTATGAATGGTAGCAAAAATGATTTTCAGGATACTCAGCATTTGATAATGCACTTGTATCCAAATGATGTCATTACATTTATCAATCTGGCATAGTTTTTCTGCAGTATGCAAAAGTAATAAAAACTAGCTGATGCATTCATTTCCATTAAACTAATTCTAATGTAATTTGTCCCTTTTGGTAGAAATAATGCAGTTAACAGTACTGTTTTTTCAGTATCTATCTATCTATCTATCTATCTATCTATCTATCTATCTATCTATCTATCTATCTATCTATCTATCTATCTATCTATCTATCTATCTATCTATCTATCTATCTATCTATCTATCTCTCTATACGTCTGTCTGTTTATCTGTCTGTCTGTGTATCTATCTATCTATCTATCTATCTATCTATCTATCTATCTATCTATCTATCTATCTATCTATCTATCTGTCTGTTTATCTGTCTGTCTGTTTATCTATCTATCTATCTATCTATCTATCTATCTATCTATCTATCTATCTATCTATCTATCTATCTATCTATCTATCTATCTATCTATCTATCTATACGTCTGTCTGTTTATCTGTCTGTCTGTTTATCTTTCTATCTATCTATCTATCTATCTATCTATCTATCTATCTATCTATCTATCTATCTATCTATCTATCTATATGTCTGTCTGTTTATCTGTCTGTCTGTTTATCTGTCTGTCTGTTTATCTATCTATCTATCTATCTATACGTCTGTCTGTTTATCTGTCTGTCTGTTTATCTATCTATCAATCTATCTATCTATCTATCTATCTATCTATCTATCTATCTATATATATATATATATATACGTCTG